GCTATCTAGTTCCATTAAGGAAAACACGATTTCTATGATATAACGCAACAAGATGTCTCCTTTATTATATAGAAAAATGAGTAAATATAACGTCTACTGGTGTCATTAAACTGAATCATGATGTTGTTGATGTAATATTATTCTTAGCAATAGTTTTTGCAACTATTTCCTTCTGCGTACAGTTTGTTCCTGTAGGGCGAGGTTGGCTTACCATTTGAGAAGAAAATAGTATAAAATTTATGGAGACTGTTGAATAGTCAACAACCAAGTAATATTTCTTTTTAAAAGATATCTTTATTCAATGTATTGTTAAAAGTTTTATGAGATGGATAAATTTGTCGTTTGTTAAAAAAGGAAATTGTTTTGGAGAAGCGTTTCAGACAGACACACATGTAATCATTTTGTAGTTGACCATGTTGCATAAAGTTTGCTATTGTTCATGTACAATGCTGAATAAATTTGTTCTAAACGGTAATTGGTTGGGAAGAGTAAAATAATTTCCACTCATAATTTCCACACATTTTTTTCGCATCAGAACTTAGATAAGGATGAGATGTTTTTAGTGAGTTTTGACTACTGAATTATTCAGATGCTCAGCAACTTCATCTTGCAATTTTTTTGAGATTAATTCGGAAGTGATTCCCAGTAAATACAGATTTCCAAAAAAGAATAACTAAAAGAAAGGTTCGCTTTCTATTGGAAAATAAGGGCTGAAGATTAGTTTTGTTTTGTTTACGGCATACCAACCTTAAGGGGTTAATTAATGACGACTAGATTTTTATTGCTGGTAATATTTTTTCCAAAAATGTGTTGCTGACAATTTTTTTTCTTCAGAGGTATATTGCCTATAATAATGCATTGCTGGTAATAATTATTTACAAAATGTATTGATGGTAATATTTTTCCCTCAAAAAATTATTGCTGGTATTAAAACCTATTTTTACATTTTCATAGTGTTTTATTCCCAGTTTGGCGGTTAACTATTTGCGAATAAGATTTTTATTGCTGGTAATATTTTTTCTTCAGAAGTGTATTGCTGGTAATAATGTATTGATGGTAATAAATATTTACAAAAAGTATTGCTGGTAATATTTTTTGTTTAAAAAAAGTATTGTTGATAATAATGTATTGTTGGTAATAATTTTCCCTCAAAAAATTTATTGCTAATATTAAAACCTATTTTTACATTTTCGTCGTATTTTGTTCCCAGTTTTGGTTATAGATGGAACCCTATCAGATGCTACCACCCCTGGTCAGGGTGGACCTGGGAACACCAGCAATTAAGAGGTGGCTCCTCGCTCCTCAAACCCTCCTGAACAGAGGCCTTGCTCTCGGATGTAGTTTATCGTCTTACCTAGGATGCGGATGAAGTTTATCGTCATATGCAGGACGTGGCAGAAGATTAGTGAACTTCTGATCATAAACGTGGCAGGGTTTGGAAATCAGGAAGGTTGTAATATAGCTCAAATTATCAAATAAAAAATGACTGTTAAGAAATCAAATTCTTATCATTCATTGTCTTACACATTTTACTTATATTTTTTTTTCTAATTATAGATGGTTGTATGTTTACTTATATGTCTTTAGCGAATGTCATTAATTTTCAACATTTCTTAAATTAGCAGCATTATAATTACTCTGTTAGGTTCTTGCAATTCAATAGTTTTTAATATTATTATTCTTGTTCTTGTTCTTCTTCTTAGGCCGTATCCCTTCAGGACTTTGGCGATCATGATTCTCCACAATTTACTGTCCTTGGCACTTAGTCAGTTTTGTAATGTAATAAACTGTTCTAACATACATATTTATTCCTTTAAATGTAGTCGGGGTTCGCACTATATAGGGTGAACAACTCAAAGGCTGGCTGTCAGAATAAAGCAACACGTTCCAAAGAAAATCTGCAATCTTAAGTACACTCCTTCAGATATTCTGACCAATACATATGGATCTTCCATCGCAGAACGCCTAATAAATAGCCATAATTGTGCCACTACTTTCAGTGTGGACTCATTTACCATCCTCAGAAAGTTACACTCAAAATACCACTTGAAAGTGTTGGAGGCCATTTATATTTTATCGTTGAAGCCCTCTCTGTGTAAACAGAAGGACTTCGTACTGAGTTTCCAACTAATTTCCATCTAAACAATATTTTTTCAATACATATTGTCCATCTTTTTAATGATAATTCTGTTTACTTTATTAACCTCGATTTAGTTCTGTTGGTCGAGGGTTGAAATGATGCTCTTTATGAAAGTTAAGCACTTGTTTTCTCTGTCTCTTTTGGATTCAATACATCCCGTGAGTGTCACATTTTTCCTCATCTTTCCTAATATAACCTAGAACTTTCAACTATCACGTTCTGAAGTTCTTATGCAAGAGCATGCAACAGACAACTGGCCATTTCTTTCTCGAGCAAACTTTTGAAACGTTTGGTCTTGTGATTTGTTTGTAGCTCTCGTAAACGCAGAGCGAACTGGAAGGTAGATATTGCATTTTTTATTTTAATAAAAATGTAATATTAGTATTATTTTAATCATTAAATTGCCTTTTAAAACAGTGGGAGTATTTTGGAAGTTAAATAATAAAACTTAAAACGAATGACAATTTATTGTACTAAGCTACACACCCTGTATTTTATATCTCTTTACCTGATTGTATTTCTTCCCCAAAATTTGGTTTCGATCGTTCAAGGTATGGTTATTTTAGAGTGTCCGAAGGACGTTCGGACCGAATAATGGAAGTCATATATATATATATATATATATATATATATATATATATAGGGAGATAGATAGATAAATAGATAGATAGATACATACATACATACATACATACATACATACATACATACATACAGAGGCAGACATATGACTTGCATGCAAATCTACTTGAAACTTTTACCAACATTTTATTGCAAAAACAGATTTTTCTTTATGAAGCATTGTTGGTCGATTTTACCGTATATCACTAAAAGTCCTTTGTGAAATCCTGGGAGAATAAGCTCTTTGTTTTGTTTAAGAATTAAACATATGTTTTCTAATATATGATTATGCCTGATTGTTTGTTTAGAAGCATAGCAACACCTTTATGGGTTATTTAATACCGAAATCTAAATATTCTGTACACATTTTTATGGCTACAAGTAAATATATTTTAAATGAAATGGTATACCTTCAACTACAAAATATTGTTGTTCATTTTGCTTTAAATGTGTATGGATGGTAATATTAATATAAACATATATTGTTGGTTGGCTGATTTTATTTCGCGTCATATCAACCATTATGGTTTATTTAAGTCGAAATCTAAATATACAGAATTTTATGGCTTTAATTAAATAGGTTTTGAACGCAATTTTATGCTTTCAACAACAGATACAGTGTGTGATTGATAAACTGTCGTCTAAATTAGCAAAAATGAGAACACTGACATCTTATTGTAGCAGATGTATTTGCCAAAATGACATAAAAATCTCGTAATAGTAAATTTATTCAATAAAATCTTTATTGCTTTCAAGCACGGCCTCTAGACGACTCCGGAATCTCTTGCAACTCTTCTGAATGGTCTCCTTGTTTAAGTTATTGAATCCTGCCATAACCTCTGCCTTTTGTTCGTCTTTGGGGTTCAAGGAGTTTTGTTGACACATAATAATAAAGGTGGTTGCAGTCTGGGCTGTTAGGTGGCCAGATATTAGGGGTAATGTGGTCGTAAAAATTGTCTGACTGACATGACTGGGTTCTCCTGCTTGTGTGGCATGATGCAGTGTCCTGCACCCAGACATAGGATCTTCCATCAGTCACTCTTTTTACCAAGGGTAGCACTACAACCTGAAGACACTTGGTGTAGGTCTCCATGTTGAATTTGAGGCCCTGTGGGAAGATGACTGGTGTCATAACGTCACCGTCACTAATAATCACAGCAAACACCTTCGTAATTACCATTATACTCATCCAAATCTTTCCGAATACCCTGCATTTTCCTCATATTGAAGCTCAAATGCTGAGCAGTATATCATGCCATTTCCAAATTTCTGGCCGAGTGAATTGCGTCATGGTGGTCTTTTTTCCCCACAGCTGGTGTCCAACTGTGCTGCCAACAAAATCAAAAACAATCAACGAGCATTCTCGAAATAAAAATATAAAATGGCGGCAATTTAAGCAGCACGTCCAGAAAAATGTGCTGTTGCTAATTTAGCTTTAAATATGTGTTGTTGGTAATTTTACTATAAATATGTATTGTTGATTGGATGACTTTGCGTAGTAGCATATCAACGCCTATAGGTTACTGTATGCCAAAATCTCCATATTCTGAACACAGTTTTATCGTCTCCAACACAGATAAAATTTATTGTTAGCCATTTTGCTTTAAATATGTGTTGTTGGTAATTTTACTATAAATATGTATTGTTGTTTGGTTGATTTTGTTTACTGGCATATCAACACATCTATGGGTTATTCAATTCGGAAATCTATATATTTTGTACGTAATTTTATGCTTTCAACTATAGATATTCTGTACATAATTTTATACTTTCTGGGTAAAGGTATCTTTTTCCTTAGATATAAAACTTGTAGATCATAAAATGTATTGTTGGTAATTTTACTATAAAAATGTATTCTTTATATTATTTTCAGTGTTGCATTGATTGTCATTTGGCGATAAAATGTATTCTGGTCAACTTTTTTTTTATAAAAATGTACTATTGATTTCTTTTTTTTTTTTGATTCCCTATTTGCCCATGGTTGCCACCCGAACAGGTGCTACTACTCCAGGTCTGTATGGACCTGGGGAAAAAAACAGTTGCGAGGCGGTTCCACCTTCCTGAAAACCTCTAAGCTCCTTGATCCAGGCCGAAATATATTATTATACAAGTTCCTCAAAAATATATATCTAATTCCGTAGTTAATTTTATATCAGTTTGTTGCTGAATTTCATTTGAAACATTATAAAACCCACATCATGTACTTGAAACATGTAAATATACGTTAACTTTTTTACCT